AAACAAACATATTATGGACTTTGTAACTCATCATAACTTCTAATTAAACAAACATATTATGGACTTTGTAACTCATCATAACTTCTAATTAAACAAACATATTATGGACTTTGTAACTCACCATAACTCCTAATTAAACAAACATATTATGGACTTTGTAACTCATCATAACTTCTAATTAAACAAACATATTATGGACTTTGTAACTCATCATAACTTCTAATTAAACAAACATGTTATGGACGTTGTAACTCATTATAACTTCTAATTAAACAAACATGTTATGGACTTTAATTCATCATAACTTCTAATTAAACAAACATATTATGGACTTTGTAACTCATCATAACTTTTAATTAAACAAACATATTATGGACTTTGTAACTCATCACAATGAACTTGTTTTTCTTGCAGTTGAAGAGAAGTTAGCTCTGATGACAGATGTTACAAAGGTATGTTAGTTTTCCATTAACACAGGGTACAAGCTAATACATAAAATGCTCTACACATTTGAGATTAAGATAATAACACAACATGTTACATGGTGAACTTGATGTAACCAGTCTCATCTTGTGATGTATGGGCTGTGAAACATCTATATCATGACTAGCTGAGAACTGTAGCAGCCCAGCTAGGTAGGTGAAAGTTATGTTATTCAAAAACGTTTTTCTTGCCTTTAGATGTGGGAAACTGTTTGATTTTGATTTGATGTTGGAAAGAGCTCCATACAGATTAGATGTGAGGAACAGCTCGAAAAAGATGAGATGTGGGAAACAGCTTAGTAGAGTAGTGTAAAAGACAACGTGAGACTGAAGAGGATGCACGAGTGTGTTGAAACTAGTTTCTCTAATATCAGACTTCTGACACTTTGTTCCATTTACTGTGGTTTTTCACTAATTCCTATAAACGTTATTGTGTTCTTTTATCATTATTAGTCTGGTAGAGATTAGATGTGGGGAACAGCTCCATACAGATTAGATGTGGGAAACAGCTTAGTAGAGTAGTGTAAAAGACAACGTGAGACTGAAGAGGATGCACGAGTGTGTTGAAACTAGTTTCTCTAATATCAGACTTCTGACACTTTGTTCCATTTACTGTGGTTTTTCACTAATTCCTATAAACGTTATTGTGTTCTTTTATCATTATTAGTCTGGTACTACTTGACTTGGGATAAAATATGTAATGCAATTTGTAGTGTTGTATTACCCACTTACAAGACACTAAGACCACTTGACTTGGGATAAAAGATGTAACGTAATTTGTAAAGTGTTGTATTACCCACTTATAATACACTAAAACCACTTGACCTGGGACAAAATATGTAACTCGATTTGTAAAGTGTTATTGATAAGAAATATAATTATTCAGAAGTTTATGTTGAGGTACACAAATAGGCTATTGCAAGTTATTTAAATTCTAGCCAAACCAAAACAAAATTACTGCAACAACTTGCTGATGAATTGAAGGGTTATATAGTATTCAGTTAACAATAAATTTGAATGAAAGAGCTTTGACTAATGCTATACAGAAATAAGCCAAACTCAACACAAGTACAGAAATAATAATACATGTAACAAGACAATATGTTAGGCCTTCCATTTCGTAGCCTACCCAAACTCAATACTGATCATATTTTTTTCAAAACCAATATATCAGACCTTCCATTTCCTGAGCTTTTTGTCTTTCATTACTTAATTCCATAGACAGTCTTGTGTTTTCTTCCTTTGCTTCCTCCGTTTCTTCTTTTGCCTGTGTATAAAACAGAAACTGAGCTTACACAATATGTTGGATTTCTACCTTACTCATCCCTCTACTGGATGATGCAAATATTAGTGGTTATTCAACTCAAAATTGTTGACTATGTACATCATGTTAAGAAGAAAGTTTGAAAAATTGTTCAAAAACTTGAGTATTATTTTTTAAAATAAAAATTCTAGAGACTGAGTAGTATTAGCAAGTCTGTGAAATGGAATTATTTTTAATTCAAAGCAAAAACTTAATGCAGATTAAACTTAGCAAAAATACTCTGTTCCGAGCTGTTCCCCACATCTAATCTGTACCGAGTTCTCACATCTCAATTGTACCGAGCTGTTTCTCACATCTAAATTGTACCCAGCTGTTCCCCACATCTAATCTGTATGTAGCTGTTCCCCACATCTAATCTGTATGGAGCTGTTCCCCACATCTAATCTCCAGATAAAATGTGTAACGTAATTTGTAAAGTGTTGTATTACCCACTTATAATACACTAAAAAAGTCAAGTGGTTTTAGTGTCTTGTAAGTGGGTAATACAACACTTTACAAATTACATTACATCTTTTATCTGAAGTCAAGTGGTTTTAGTGTCTTGTAAGTGGGTAATACAACACTACAAATTACATTACATCTTTTATCCGAAGTCAAGTGGTTTTAGTGTCTTGTAAGTGGGTAATACAACACTACAAATTACATTACATCTTTTATCCGAAGTCAAGTGGTTTTAGTGTCTTGTAAGTGGGTAATACAACACTTTACAAATTACATTACATATTTTATCCCAAATGAAGTGGTTTTAGTTTTTTTTATAAGTTGTCTGTGTTATTAACTGTAAGGTAACTGTTTTAATGTGTACATGTTTGAGGTTAGTTATTTGTGTTATTAAGTATAAGTTACTGTTTTGATATTTATATGTTTGGGGTTAGTTGTCTCTGTTATTAACTATAAGTTTAGTTTCTTGTATTTGGTTGCTTGTTTCACGACACAATTAATTCTGTAAGAACAATTTACACTGTAATATTTTCAACCCAGAAAGATGAGTTATGAACCATTTACAGGTACTCTACAGGAGAAACTGAGAGAAGTAGACCAGCTCTGGAGTGACTACAATAAGGCATTACAGGATAAGACAGAAGCCCAGACAAAGTTAGATGTTTTAACTAGTTACTTCAAGGAGAAGGAGATGCAGCTACAGCGGTATGTTTTAGAATGTTCATATTGTTTGAATTCTAACTTACAATAAGCCACCAGATGCCTCTTTGACAATACAAGTCACTCTACATTATTGGCTTAGTGCATGGGTTAAAATTGCTGCAGCAGTGAACGAGTTAATTCCTCATGCTTGGTAATAAAACTTACTGGATTTCTAATCAGTGTAGCCTATTTACCTGTATATAGCAAGTATAAAGAAGATTTAGCTGTATTTCAGTTAGAAAGGCTTTTGTTGTTTAAATGATTTTAAATTACTTGGTTTATAACACCGATTGAAAAGATATATTTTCTAGTAACAATTTCTTGTTATCTACCTCTTTGTGAAAAAAAAAGTTTACTGGTTAACTTGTATGAACCAGTATTTCTAAAAGACTGAAATTCTTCTAATGAAATATTTCACATTCAAATTTACTGGTGTTATTATGAATAAATAAAATGCAAGTTGTTGGTTATATTGATGTTCAACAGGTAATTTAATATTAGGATGTTCACTGTTGAGATAGTTTAAAAACTGTCAGCATGTTCGCCTTCTGTAAGAATAATGAAGTATCATCTATATATCTTCTAGCCAGCATTTTGCAAGGTGACATTGGAACTAACCTGGGTTAATCTAGACCCCATAGTAACATGGGCAAGTGGTTAGGGTGCTCGATTCGCAATCTAAGGGTCGCGGGTTTGAATCCCCGTCCCACCAAACATGCTTGCCCTTTCAGCCATTATAATGTGACGGTCAATCCCACTATTCGTTGGTAAAGAGTAGCCAAGAGTTGGCGGTGGGTGGTGATGACTAGCTGCCTTCCCTCTA